ATCCATCTGTCATATAAAGAGGATTTGCAAATTTTATAAGTAAATTTTACTATTGAGCCAAATGTAAAGCACTCCTATCTAAAAATTTTTTTTATTAAGTAAATTACTCTTAGACTTCTAATTAAAGTATAAAAAAGAGTGTAACAACTTAGTATAGTTAGTAAATTGTTATATCTCTAAGTGCCAAAACAAGAGTTCAAATCTTATTAATGATGAAATTTGAATTTATAGAATTAATTTTTAGTAAACTATATTCTATTAAATCTATATCTGTAATATAGTTGTATCAGCTAATACTAAAAGTTGTGAAACTATAGTGTAATATATAAGTTCTATGAATCTAGGTGAAGCAGCTATATAAAACTAACAAATTAAAGAATATAGAAGCTCACTTGGCAAAACCCAAGCAGAAAGGTAATGCAGATTTTTGATAGTACTATATAAAAGATTATTACCTGAAGAACTGGTGAAACTGAATGAAACTGAAGTGTTTAGCAAAAACATTCTACCAACCAGGCCATTAGAAGAGAACAGAGGAAAAGAACCTAACTGTATAAACTAAATACAGATCACAACCCTTTTGGACTATTTGAATTGGTAATTCTGAAGCTGAAAGTATAGATGATAGTCTGTAAAATATATATTAAAATTTGGATAAACTTTATAAAAATACAGAATAGATAATATAGCAAAGTTAAAAAGCTACAAGTACTTGTTTTTAGATTCAGTATAAGTTATTAAAAAACTAGATAATATATATATAGAATATAGACTATTTTAATAGGTTTATCATAATAATAAAGTAGTTCTAGAGAGTCTTAGCAGCAATTGTTTATTGAAGAAAATGTTTGATGATATGAAGCCAATTAGAGAGTTTAAATAGGTGATTTATAGATAGATTTTAAATATGACAACTAGTGTATAATTATAGATAAAAATAGATATTGCAAAACTTGTAAATAAACAATAACTAAAGTTGTATATATGACCAATTATATTTTTATTAATATAGCAAAGTTAGATAAGGTTTATATAACTGAACTGGTATTCGAACTATTGTTTAATAAAAAGTGCTAGACTTCAAAGTAATTATCTTAATTTAAAAAAAATAAAAGTTGTAAAGCTCATTAAAATGCATTTAATAGTAGTAAAAATATTAAAATCAGTCTGATAGTTCTTAAGAAATTTTTAGAAAATATTTTGCTAACATATAAAATTTTTTTTAAAAAAATTAAAAAATTTTATATCAGTAAAATATTTTTAAAAATTTTTCAAAAACTACCAAGTTGATTTAAATATTCTTACTATTATTAGATGTGTCTTGATAAGCTCAAAAACTTTATTAAAAGCCTAAAAGTAATTTACTTAGTAAAAAAAGTTTTAGATAGGAGTACTTCATATTTACTATTTACTGTAAAATTTAATGGATATCTGAATATTCTAGTTTTTGAAATTGATCTTAATGAACTTAAATGATTTTGCCTTATTTTACTTTTGAATTTATATATTAAATATATTAACAATTTTTTCAATATAACACTAAGCTATTAAAGTTTTGCCATATTTTAGTCACATGTTAGTGCTTTAAATCATTTTCTTGATTCAATCTACAAACTTGAAATTTTCTATGTTTATATGTTTAGAAATCATAGCCAACTGTGGCATCCAAGATTTTGTAGACAAACATCCTTGAACATGTTGATAAACCATACTCTTTGTTTTAAAAAACTCTGTTCCTGGTATTACCTCATTTAAAAAACTTTGAATTCAACTTTGTGTTTGATAATTAATTTTGATGCAACATCAAATACAATTGAACATGATATATACAGTCAGACCTCAATAAGCACCTAATTTTGTAAAACAAATTGCTATAAATATATAGAAAAAGCCTCCATATAAGAACAATCTCTTTATAAGCACATTTGGGGTCTTTGCCTTGAAAATCACCTTCCGACATTTCCGATCGGGTTAATTCGGACAAAAATAAACCCTAGTACCGGTTCATGTTCATATATTAATCGTATTATAACTTTATTGACTCAATGTTTATCGAATAACTATTGAATCAATAAAGGTAAAAGATGATTAACATATGAAAATAAACTGGTACTCAGGTTTATTTTTGTCCGAATTAACCCGATCGGAAATGTCGGAAGGTGATTTTCAAGGCAAAGACCCCATTTTTTAAAAAAAGTTACTATCATTCTGACTGTGTAATTATAGAGAGGGTTGACTGTAGTTGCACATCCTCCTTTCCCTAACTCATTAATATTTTTGAATTCATTATAAGAAATTCATGCTATTTTGATATTTATTTTTAATATTATTCATTCCATCAAAATTACCTACTAGCGCAGATTTTATAAAATATTCTGATGCTTTATTTTCGTCCTTCTCAACTCCGATTCCTTTCTCATAACAATACCCAACATTATATGTTCCACTAGCATGCCCCATTTTTGCTAATTTTATATAATATTCGAATGCAGTATGTTCATTTCTATAGTTGGTGGTAGAATTACTGAATTACGGCATTACGGCATCTTACCAGTTGGTAGAATTAATTACGGCACAGTATCTGATTGCTGTAAATATCAGATATTATATGCCCTAATGCCATAATGCCAATGATAAATATTATATTAATGTGAAAAATAACACAGTTACTATTACACTATAATATTATATGGCGCGAGTGCTCTACGAACATGCGTATGTACAGTACCCTCAGAAATATATCACGGTTACACAAAAAAGCACATATAGAATATGCTAAAAGATACGTAGAATACAGTAACGACGACCAACCCCAAGAATATATGAAAAATTGAAGACAACGCTTTTAGCGAAATAGAAAAGGCTAGATGAATCGATTTTCATGAATTTAATCAACAGTATTCCAAATCATACTGAAGTTATTTCTAATGGAGGTTATGGTTGCAAATACTGATGCATTATCTTCTCAACACATGTATTGTAATGATATATTGCTGAATTGGTATATCGATATTATTATTAATTTGCTAACGCTAAGCAATAAATTTATATGTTTAGAAAATTTTTGTTTTTTCATGTAACTGTGATATATTTTTCTGAGGGTATTGTACAACTTTACAAACATCGCATACATAATGATTAAAGGGATCCTATCATATTCCGAACAACCACTTTTTTCTGACAATATCAAAATCCTAACAAGTTAGCCTGCATTAGATTAGGGCTGGTGTTAGTTCCGGTCAATTCATATCGGGATTTTGTTTGTCGGGAAAATGATAGAGATCCATGGCTGAAAGGTATTTAATCTAATTATTAAATTTATTTCATGGTTGAAAGTACTTTAATAGTTTATATCGGAAGACTCGTGGAATTGGGATTAAATGAGTATATAAAAATAATTTAAGGAGTAATTAACCACAACGATTCAAAATTTATCCCTTAATTTATACATAAACGTAATAAAAATGTAATAAAACTTACACAAATAGAATCGTATATTTTTAGTCACTGAAATTGAGGATGCATTTTACAAACTCAATTTCGAAAGTTCGCCGATGTATTTACTGCGTTACAGTATTTCGACACTATGGCATTACAACATTACGGCATTTCGGCATTACGGCATTTCGGCATTACGGCACTACAGAATTACGGCAAATAATACGGAACATGCCGTTGCCGTATTAATTTGCCAAATTAATTCTACCACCAACTATACCTTTTTTATAACAACGTCCAACATGATATATTCCACTAGTAGAACCCATCTCTGCTGATTTTTGATAATATTCGAATGCCTTATGTTCATCCTTTTCAACTCCAATTCCATTCTCATAACAATATGGGTGATTATTTTTGGATCCAGACCAAAATGTTATGATGTCATAAATATAAAATTGGTCCGGGTTCAAAAATAATTACCCATGTCCAACACTATATTTTCCATCAGCATGCCTCATCATTGCTGATTTTTGATAATATTCGAATCCCATTTTATTGTCCTTGTTGACGCCGCCGAAGCCTTATTCGTATTTGTCTCCGAATTCGTATAATTCTGCGCATGCTTGATTCATGGTTACAACATAAAAAAAGATTTACAGTATTTCAATGTTACCCCAGAAATTATTTAACATGCTTAATAATATGTATGTCTTTCCATAAAAGCAACCTTAATTGCTTTATAAGAATTTCACAAGCGACCATTTATGTTCGTCATACATGCATATGTATTAAACTCGAATAACTGAAAATTAGAAAAATATTATTTGTGTGAAGCGTGAGAAAAAAAATTTTTAATTTAAATGATACGCTAAGTTTGTAAGTGTGAAGCACACAAATTGATATTGTGCAGGTGACTGATAAAAAGTTCAAGTTTATACATTAATACATTTATTTTCAATTAATTAATATCTAAACTGTATTTAAAATATCGAATAATATAAAGTTTGACAGTTTTAGTAATTAATTTTTAAAAAAGTACAACTATTTTATTTTTTATATTTTTAATTTATCGCACGGAATCCATGCCATTTACATGTTATAAACATGCATTCTTGTGCATTGTCCCGTGTTTATTCCGCATAGTCTCATCCTAATAGTTTTTCATGTTTAGCTGTAATATTCCATGCTGCAATTTCTTATAGGGAAGTATATATTTTTCTAGGTAGTTTTGTTACGTACTGTACTTTAGATAGCGATTCCCAACACTAAGGTTACCAGCATAACTCACTTCACTGACAATCGTTTCATCTACAGCTCATTTGATTGATATCACATAGGGTTAGTATTAACATTTGATTTAAGTTGTAGGTATTTAGTTTAGTAAATTGTCACTTGGAGCGATGTCAGCCAAATGAGCTGTTGGTAAAGTTAAAGCGAAAACAAATTTACATAATGTTTCTCATATCAGATTATCTTTATAATAACTGTATTTTATTAAACTACTTTCTCCCAAAGTAATCTTCAAGATCCTACATTCTTTAAATTATTGACATAATTGATTATTTGTTTTCGGGCATCGTTAAAAATGCTTCAATAGTCTTGTCCTTATCAAATTGTTCAGCATTAATACACTTTAGCTTATATTATTGATTAACATCATCTTTACCCTTTTTGCCTCCGCTCCATTACCTCCCAGCTGAGGAAGTCTTGGCAAGATAGCACGTTCTAAATTTTCACCTTCATAAGTGGTCATTCTGGGTCATAATTTATCCATCTTTCGCAAAAAGTAGTTTCTATATAGATAAATAAATAGATAAATAAATAAATAAAAAGCTAACATCATTCGGGTTCTAAAAAAGCTATACAGTTTAAAACTTGATTAAATTACCACTTCCAGACAAAACCACAGAGTTATCAACTTTTTGTTTTTTTTTGACCATATTCTCCTTATCTTCAGTTCTTTCCTTAAGATTTTAAAATAATAAATAGATCAGCTTAGTTGATTATATGACTATTGATTGCATTATAAGAAATTGCTGCACAGATGCATGGAATTTTAAGTACAAACAACACCAAATTGCATGTAAATATATACGGGACACTGAACAGCACACCTAAAACACAGAAAAAAGCGTGATTTCATGCAGCATTACACATATTGACTGCATTTTTACGGGTTATCTTATATACTTTTACATATTTTTACATACTTTCCCTATAATTTTTCTTAATATTGCATATGACTATGTGTTTAAATTCTTTTTTTTTTTTTTTTGCTTTGCAGTTTTGTATAAATTTTCATGCAATGTGCTTTTTCAGTGCCAAATTCTATAATAGTATGTGCATTTCCGTGTACTGATTTCTTATAACTATATATTAATAAATTATTTACTTAGTCTTTTCTTGTATTTTCTGCTATCTTCTTTTCAATTATATTTCTCCAATATTTTTCCATTAGGGAAGTGTCATTTATCACCTGATTATTTTAAAATGGGTTCCCTAACAAAGTATCATGTACATTGGTATACGATTAATCAGTTTTATTATTGTTGGAAATGAATGTAGCAAAAATGATTGGGTACCCATAAATTTTATCATGTAAGGGGAGGGAAATATATACTATTTACAAAAAATTAGGTGATAAATGATACTTCCCTTATCAGATCTTTCAGAATTTTTGCTGTTGTATACCAATTGTATTTATACAAATGAAGAACCATAATCAGGCTTTCTAAATAGAAAGAACTCAATCAGAAGTTGCTTTCTTAATAAAATAAAAATTATACCTTTTTCTTTTAAGATAAAAATGATTTCTCGTCTAAAAATTTTGTTGCTTTTCTTGAAAAATGCCTCGCCCAAAAATCATTAAGTTGTTACCAATCTTTATAATTTGGTGACAGAATAATTGTATATTCTTAATAAAGCTTTAAAAAAATTCAGTAGGATGGTCTTTTATGTTTTTAAATAAATGCAAATCTTTGTTTATAAGAAAATACAGCCATTCAGAAATTCAGAAATTCAGAAATTCAGTAATTCGGAAATTCAGAAATTTAGAGTACACAAATCTACCAGAGCTTGGTGAATAGTTTTCATAGGAGGTCATGTGAAACTTTGTCCCTTCTAAGAAAGAATAGCCAAGTTTTAAATACAGAAATTTAAAAATTTTAAAAATGTGATCTCAAATACGTATAGTATTGTGGGAATTAAATGTAAAATTGGATTGTTTATGATTTAGGGTTTTTTATTATGGCTAAACTATGATTACGGATATGTGCAGATTTTTGCAAAAATAGGGTAGCTATTAGTGATGCTGACATAACGTTTTAACATTACTATGTTTTGGGTTTTGTCACATGATAAAACTGGTATTAATATAAATTGTAGGTTAAAACCGTTAAAACAAAAATGATAAAACTAGTTAAAAATGTTGGTTAAAATGACTGCTATTACGTATCACATTAAGTTATCAAATTACGTATATCAGATATATTAAATTCAAATTACGAAACATATTAAATTAAACTTTGTTATCTGTTATTATCAAATTACATAAGACTAGTATATCACTAGTAATAAAATGTTGACGTTTCATAGGGCTGGAGCCTTATTTATTGGGTGTTCAAATTGTTCAAATTTGAAATAAAAATTTTAGCATTGTTACTGAGTATTTAAAATATAACTTTATAAATATTTTTTAAGGTTGAATTGATGCGCATGTGAAAAAACAAAGTACAGTTTAATAATTTACAAAGTAATTTTTGCTTTTCAACTAATCTTTGTTGTAGACGTATACTTTTTCCCAATTTTTGTAATCTATCACAAAAAAAGCTCTGCTGAAAAGAAGATCAGAAAGAGCACGGACTCTTGACACAGCTACGAATATAAAACCTATAGCCAATTGCTTATTGCCAATATCTAATACAGTTCGTGATAATGTTAAACCTTGCAACTTGTGAATTATAATTGCACAAGAAATTCACAATAGAAATTTCATATGAGAACCCAGATTTTCCTTCCCATGTATATCTAATTGAGCGATTCAGTACTGCTTGTAAACTATTGATGTAGACAATGTTAAGCCTGTATAATTATCTATTTTGAGCAGTATTAGTGTAGGCAAAGTGGGTGGCATCTTCACTGGTTCATATATAATATTGACGACAATTCCCATTGCACTATTAACCAATCTGTAATAATCAGTCAAATATAGAACTATCTTCTAGAAGAGTATGCAATATATGATCGATTTCATTACTGATATAAAAAGGATTATTGATTTTAAGATAATTTAACCAGATTAAAATATTTGATCCTTTGACATCAGATTTTTGAAATGAAGTAAAATCTTGATTAGGTTTTGAATAATTAAAGTATCAATCATAGAAGGATTTTGAGGTATCTTCATAAAAGCTCTTGAATGTCTTGAGCAAAATTAATCACATGTTCTTGATATCCAAGTGGTCACAACTTGAAGCTTGTAAACAGTTAATATTGGATGAATTTGTGCAATAAGCATTTTTTCCATTTGACTAAGTTGAGGAAGCTCATGGGAATTTCTCCTAAAGATAAAACATTTTAGTTTTGAAGATATTTTATTACCAATCAATATATAGGGATTGGAACCACCTAAAATTTTTTTTAATCGTTTAATTGACAATTCTCCAGTCAACTGAAGAATGATTATAGCGAAACGTGACGCAGTTCTATATATAAATTACTATAGATGCAAAAGTAGAAATTTTCCAGTGATTGTCTAAAGAAAACTTTTTTTCGTACTAAGTTAATCATCTTTGAGTCTCTAAATAAAGTTGTAGAGTTCATCGAGACGAATCTAATGGTAGTTAAATCATCCAGATCGGCCTTGTGGATGCCAAGATATCTTTGAAAACGTTTCGTCAACTATATAAAATTCTTTAAGAACAATCTAAAGAATTTTATATAGATAGCAAAACGTTTTTCAA